TGTAATTACCCCCACAATCAGGTTTCAGAAATTTCCATCATCCCCGCAAACTCCTTTTGCAAACTCCCTCTGCCGACTCCTAACCTTGACAACCACTGATTTGGTCTCTGTTCCTACAGCTTTGCCTTTTTCAGAAAGTCGTATCAATGAAGCCATAAAATATGTAATTTTTTGAGACTGGCTTCTTTTACTCAGCATGATGCCTTTGAGATTCCTGCATGCTGCTACGTGTGTCAATAGTTTGTTGCCTTTCTCTGCCGTGTAGGATTCCAATGTATATCTGCACCACAGTTTATTCATTCCATGGATAATCTGGGTTGTTTCCAGTTTTTGGTGACTATAAATAAAGGTGCTACAAACATTCATGTACAGATTTTCGTGTGAATATGAGTGTTTACTTCTCTAGGGAAACACCTGGAGTGGTTAAGAGTATATTTATGGCAAATGATATTAGCACGCAAGAAACCACCACGCTGTTTTCCTGCACCATTCTGCATTACCAGGGTATGACAGTCCCAGCTGCTCTGCATCCCTGTCAGCAGTCAGTACGGTCAGGTTTTTTAAAAAAGTTATTCAAGTAGGTATATAGTGGTATCTTAACATGATTTTAACTTGTATTTCCCTGGCGGCTAAGAATGCTGAGCACCTTATCATGGACTTACGTGCCATTCATATATCTTCTTTGGTGAAGTGTTTGTTCAAATAACTTTGCTCATTTTTTAGCTGGGTTGTTGGTTTTCTGAAATTTCTTTATATATTCTGAATACAGGTCAGATATGGGATTTGCAAACATTTTCTCCCAGTCTGCAGCTTGTCTCTTCATTCTCTTAATAGTGTTTCTCACACAGAAATAGTTTTTAATTTTGATGAAGTACAATTTATCAATTTCTTCTTTTGTGAATTAAGTTTTTGGTGTCACATCTAAAAACTCTTTGCTTAACCCAAGACCACAAAAGTTTCCCCTCCTCTTCCTCCTTCTTTTTTTCCTAACAGTCTATTTTTTACTTTATATTTAGGTCCGTGATGCATTTGGAGTTAATTATTTTCGTAAGATATGAGGTTTAGGTTAAAGTTCTCTTTTTGGCATATGTATGTCCAATTGTTCCAATAACATTTGTTGAAAAAGACCATCCTTTCTCCACTGAAGTGCCTTTGAGCCTTTGTTGAAAATCAATTCCCCATATTTGTGTGGGTCTATTTCTGGATTCTATTCTGTTCCATTAGTCTATGTGCCTATCTCTTTACTAATACCACACTGTCTTGTAGCTGTATAGTTAGTCTTAAAGTCAGGTAGTACGAATCCCCCAACTTTAATCTTTTTCAAAATTGTTTTGGCTACTCCAGTTGCTTTGGCTCTCCATAGAAAATTTAAAAGCAGCTTGTCTAAATCTATAGAATATTTTGCTGGGATTTTCATTTAAATTGTATTAGGTCTACACATCAATTTGAGAACAACTGAAATCTTAACTATATTAAGTCTTCCAATTCATGAGTACGATGTGTCTCCTCATTTATTCTGGTCTTCTTTGAAATATGGATTTTCATAAAGCCGGAGGCATAACACTACCTGACTTCAAATTATACTACAAAGCTATTATAACCAAAACAGCATGGTACTGGTATAAAAACAGACATTCAGAGCAGTGGAGTAGAATTGAGAACCCAGAAATCACCCCTCAGGCTTACAACCATCTGATACTGGACAAAGACAACAAAAATCTACATTGGGGAAAAGACTGCCTCTTCAACAAGTGGTGCTGGGAAAACTGGTTATCCATATGCAGAAGAATGAAACTAGATATGCATCTCTCACCATATACTAAAATCAACTCAAAATGGATTCAAGACTTAAGTATAAGACTTGAAACTGTAGCATTACTAAGGTAAAATATAGGTGAAATGCTTCAGCAACTAGGTCTGGGAACAGACTTTATGAACATTAGCACAAAATAAAGCACAAAAAATAAAGCACAAGCAGTAAGAAAGCCTGAAAGCTCAAGCAGTAAATGAAAAAACAAACAAATGGGACTATATCAAACTAAAAAACTTCTGCACAGAAAAGGAAACAATCAACAGAGTGAAACAACAACCTACCGAGTGAGAGAAAATTTTTGCTAACTATGCATCCAACAAGGGATTAATATCTTTAATATACAAGGAACTCAAGCAATTATACAGTAAAAAGAACAAAGAACCCAATTTAAAAAATGGGCAAAGGAGCTGAATAGACATTTTTCAAAGGAAGACATACAAATGGCCAACAAGTACATGAAAAAATGCTCGACATCACTAGTCATCAGGGAAATGCAAATTAAAACCACCTTGAGATATCACCTCACCCCAGTTAGACTGGCTATAATCAAAAAGATGGTGAATAACACATGCTAGTGAGGGTGTGGAGAGAAGGGAATGCTCCTGCACTGTTGATGAGACTGTAAATTAGTACAACCACTATGGAAAACAGTATGGAGGTTTCTCAAACACCTAGAGATAGATCCTCCATATGATCCAGCAATCCCACTTCTGGGTATATACCCAGAGGAATGGAAATCATCATGTCAAATGGATACCTGCACTCCCATGTTCACTGCAGCTCTGTTTACAATGGCCAAGACATGGAACCAACCTAAATGTCCATTGATGGATGACTGGATAAGGAAATTGTGGCTTATATACACCACGGAATACTACTCTGCCATAAAAAAGAATGAAATACTCCCATTTGCAACATGGATGAGCTTGGAGAAACTTATGTTGAGGGAAATAAGCAAAGCACAGGGGGATAAGTACCACATATGTGGGAGCTAAGAGAGAAAGAAGGAAGGAAAGAAAGACCACAGTGGTGTGTTGGACTTGTGGAGACGGAGAACATTCCTTGGGCTACAAAGTGGAGTGGGAGGGAAAGGGGGAGGGGGAGAGGGAGGGGAAGGGAGGTTGGGGATACTTTGGTGGGGGACACGTGGTACAAATGCAATTTGTGGTAATGGGTATGCTGCCGGTCTGAATCTGGCCTTCACATCTTGGGCCCGAGGGGTGACAATCAGCTTTGTATATCATGAATATTCATAACCATTAAAAATAAATAAATAAAAAATAATTATGTACCAATATTGGTTTATCGATTCTAACAAATGGACCACACTAACACAAAAATGTTAATAATAGGAGAAACTATGTAAGGGGTTGAAACCAACAAAAATAAAATTAAAAAAAAAAGAAATATGGATTTTCAAATTCAGATATTCCCATATTGAAACACTACTGCAAGGCACGTTTGAGTCCCAATATAAATATTTCTTTTTTTTGAGAGTCCTGTAAAAGCATGTGGCTTCAAGGCTTAGAATTCAATCATGTTACTGGTAACAGGAAAATAGCCCTGGCTGAATTTCTAAGCCATATTCTTCTTCTGCTTTAAAATTATTTATACCGAAGCACGAAACAATAAAATTCATATGTTTTGAATGTACAGGAGACAAATGTACCTGTGACAAATAAACACACCCTATAACCACTTGCTAATTAAGACAGAAGAGATGTCCACGCCCCTCTGCAGTCTCCTCCAACCCCCCACCTATCCCAGGGACCCAGCGACTCCGATCACTATAGACTAACTTTCTCAGTTCTCAGATTTTATGTAAAATTCCATAAAATTTTTTATGGAAATTTGATGAGAAATGGAATCATATGCTGTATCTTCTCTGTTGTACCTGGCTTCTTTTGCTCAACATAATGTCTGTGAAGTTCATTATGCTGCTGTGTCTACCAGCTCATTCTCTTTACTGCTACTGAGTCTTGTACTCAGCAGTACACTCACATATGAGGGCACTTCAGAAAGTCCGTGGAAAAGCAGAATTAAAAGATAATACGAACCTTTCCATGAACCATTTGAAGTACCCTTGTATAATGAATATGCCACATTTGGTTATCCATTCACCCGTTAATGAACATTTGGGTTTTTTCCAGTTTTGGGCTATTATTACTAAAATATTTATACAAATGTCTTTTTATGAACATGTGTTTTCATTTCCCTCAGATAAACACCCAGGACTGAAATTACTGGGTCACGTAGTAAGCGTACAGTTAACTTTATAAGAAACAGCTCAACTAATTTCCAAGGTGGTTGTACCAATTCACATTTCACCAGAGACGTGTGGGAATCCCGTTACTTCACTCCTTCACCAAGGCTGACATTGCAGTCATTTGATGTTGACCCACTCCTGCAGGTGTGAAGTAGTGTCTCGCTGTGGTGGTAAACTCAATTTTCCTGAAGACTCATGTCTTTCACTAGGCTGGTAGAACTTGACTGCACATTAACATCCGGTTACCCACGGCAACTAGGAGCTTACTGCTCACCTGGGTCACAAGTTATCAAGAAAATGTTTGAGCCAGAAGGTGGTCAGGAGCCAAGAGACAGAGAGGCATGGCACGTGTCTCAGGCTGTGTTCTGGAGTTATCCACACTTCTATCTCCTCCTTTGGTAAGGATAATTGTGTATTACATGTAAAGTCTCAGGAATCAGGAGCATTTTTGTAAACCAGAAGAATAAAAAGGCCCTTACCTGCTATTTTCCTCCGCATCCACGGACACACAAAGAGCCACACGAGAAGGGCGAACAGCAGAGCGACACCGGTGGAAATGAGGGCTATCGCCCACACGGGGAGGACCAGCCCGAGCACTGGGGAACGGCAGTGAACAGCAGTGTTGTGATCGCATGCTTTCTAAAAGGTCGAGCCTCCAAGAAACGTGTCTTCCATTCCCCAAATGTAAAACCAATCACCTGCATTTTGTACTTAATTGGCAGTGAACAGCAGTGTTGTGATCGCATGCTTTCTAAAAGGTCGAGCTTCCAAGAAACGTGTCTTCCATTCCCCAAATGTAAAACCAATCACCTGCATTTTGTACTTAATAAACTCTCAACCAAAAAAGCATGCTGTGCTTTCTGGGATAGAAAGCTGTGTTTAAGACACATTACACCTTATGAATATAAAGCTAACTATTAAAATTTAACCGCGTTGGCACAAACAGCATATTATGTTGGGAATAAACCTATTTACATATCATAACAGTATCTAAATTGCTGAGTGGACAAATGAGACCAAGAAAGGAGGCCACCGTCTTCTGTGCTGACAGCCAGCCCCTCCTCCGCAGTGACAGGCCGGCCCGGGAGCTGCTCCGGAGCCCGCTGCCTCCGCTGCTTCTCCAGCAGTCAGCAGCTCTGCTTTCAACGAACGGAACACTCTGACCCCATACACACAACCTTTTTAAAAATTAGCTTAGAAATAAAAGTGTCTTAAAAGGACATTGAACTTCAAACTTAACTCTTCTTTAAAGTGTCAACTTATGGAATTACGCTGCAGAAGAACTCTCCATTAAAACCCACTAATGCACATGCAGTGGGAGTTACATCAGCCAACGCAAGGGTGGAATGCATGTGGCTCAGGGGCACCGTCTTCTCAGAGCACTGTGACGTCTCCAGAGCTCATCGCTCTGAATTTGGCCTATCTTCTGTCACTGGTGGCAATGGGCACACTCCACACATGCTCACAGGGTACCACTTAAACACCACGCTCAAGCATGGCCACACAGACACAGGAACACCTATCACAGCATTACCTGTGATACTAAGAATTTGCAGAGCAACCAAAATGTGCATCCTATGAAAATGTGAAATAATTATAGAACGTAGCATAAAAATAAGGTAGGCCTGGATCCAGTAGGTAATAAAGACTAGCTGTGGATGATGGAGGAGACGATGGAGGTAATCGAGGAGATGATGGAGGAGGAGGAGATGGAGGAGATGATGGAGGAGACGATGGAGGTAATCGAGGAGATGATGGAGGAGGAGGAGATGGAGGAGATGATGGAGGAGACGATGGAGGTAATCGAGGAGATGATGGAGGAGGAGGAGATGGAGGAGATGATGGAGGAGACGATGGAGGTAATCGAGGAGATGATGGAGGAGGAGGAGATGGAGGAGATGATGGAGGAGACGATGGAGGTAATCGAGGAGATGATGGAGGAGGAGGAGATGGAGGAGATGATGGAGGAGACGATGGAGGTAATCGAGGAGATGATGGAGGAGGAGGAGATGGAGGAGATGATGGAGGAGACGATGGAGGTAATCGAGGAGATGATGGAGGAGGAGGAGATGGAGGAGATGATGGAGGAGACGATGGAGGTAATCGAGGAGATGATGGAGGAGGAGGAGATGGAGGAGATGATGGAGGAGACGATGGAGGTAATCGAGGAGATGATGGAGGAGGAGGAGATGGAGGAGATGATGGAGGAGACGATGGAGGTAATCGAGGAGATGATGGAGGAGGAGGAGATGGAGGAGATGATGGAGGAGACGATGGAGGTAATCGAGGAGATGATGGAGGAGGAGGAGATGGAGGAGATGATGGAGGAGACGATGGAGGTAATCGAGGAGATGATGGAGGAGGAGGAGATGGAGGAGATGATGGAGGAGACGATGGAGGTAATCGAGGAGATGATGGAGGAGGAGGAGATGGAGGAGATGATGGAGGAGACGATGGAGGTAATCGAGGAGATGATGGAGGAGGAGGAGATGGAGGAGATGATGGAGGAGACGATGGAGGTAATCGAGGAGATGATGGAGGAGGAGGAGATGGAGGAGATGATGGAGGAGACGATGGAGGTAACCGAGGAGATGATGGAGGAGGAGGAGATGGAGGAGATGATGGAGGAGACGATGGAGGTAACCGAGGAGATGATGGAGGAGGAGGAGATGGAGGAGATGATGGAGGAGACGATGGAGGTAACCGAGGAGATGATGGAGGAGGAGGAGATGGAGGAGATGATGGAGGAGACGATGGAGGTAACCGAGGAGATGATGGAGGAGGAGGAGATGGAGGAGATGATGGAGGAGACGATGGAGGTAACCGAGGAGATGATGGAGGAGGAGGAGATGGAGGAGATGATGGAGGAGGAGAGGGAGACGATGGAGGAGACGATGGAGGATGAGATGGAAGAGGAGATGGAGGAGGAAGAGATGGAGGAGGAGATGGAGGAGACGATGGAGGATGAGATGGAGGAGAAGGAGATGGAGGAGGAAGAGATGGAGGAGGAGATGGAGGAGACGATGGAGGATGAGATGGAGGAGAAGGAGATGGAGGAGGAAGAGATGGAGGAGGAGATGGAGGAGACGATGGAGGATGAGATGGAGGAGAAGGAGATGGAGGAGGAAGAGATGGAGGAGGAGATGGAGGAGACGATGGAGGATGAGATGGAGGAGAAGGAGATGGAGGAGGAAGAGATGGAGGAGGAGATGGAGGAGACGATGGAGGATGAGATGGAGGAGAAGGAGATGGAGGAGGAAGAGATGGAGGAGGAGATGGAGGAGACGATGGAGGATGAGATGGAGGAGAAGGAGATGGAGGAGGAAGAGATGGAGGAGGAGATGGAGGAGACGATGGAGGGGGAAAAGGCGGGGTGGCAGCAGCCATGTTTCAGGTACAGACTTGCTCTGGGGAAGCCAGAACCCAGGCCTGGTTATGTTTGAGAATTCATTTGCTGGTAAAGAGTGAGCAGAAGTTGACAGAACTTTTTAAGAGCACTCATCGCATAGGAACTGTAATAAGGCAGCCTTGTTTATGTAAGAGGTGATCAGAACCATGGTTTGGAAACTGTGACACACATGGGGATCAGTGGCTGACTGCCTGTGAAGCACAGACTGCTGGGCAGTGGCGTTTCCTCTTCAGTGGGGCTGGGGTTGGACCTGAGAATCTGCACTTCCTACAAGTTAGCAAGTGATGCTAATGCTGCTGGTGTGGGGACCACACTTGGACTTGGAAGTGATTATGTAACCACCAGAGGCTTCATCACGTGGTCAGCCCTGACTCTCCAGAAAGGTGTGTACTGAATTTCAACATAATGAAAACCAGGCCTCACACATCTGAAGACTTCTCATTCAAAACGAACTTCAGGCTTATATCCAACCCAATTAAGCACTTCATTCCCTAATTTTTTTTGATTCTCGCAAATTTTTTTTTTGAAGGACAAAAATGCAAAGACACATTTTTAAAGTGCTAACTCAGCCTTTGAAATATAAGAATGACTTCTGAGAAAAGTCATATCAAATGGAAAGTAAAACACACCAAACTAAGCCTAAGATATAAACAACTTCATAATAATTTTGAAGGACAAAAATGCAAAGACACATTTTTAAAGTGCTAACTCAGCCTTTGAAATATAAGAATGACTTCTGAGAAAAGTCGTATCAAATGGAAAGTAAAACACACCAAACTAAGCCTAAGATATAAACAACTTCATAATAATTTGGAGTAGAGGAACAGAGGCAATCAAAAGAAAACACTATAACTCAACATCCCACATATCCCCATTTAATTCATCTCCACACATAAGAATGTTACTTATCAAAATCTTGTAAAGTTGAAACTGGGTAAGATTAATGCTGTCACTTATTTCTGTTAGAGAATTTCATTCTTTTTTTCTTTTTGTCTCTGAGGGCCTATGTGAGTGAAAATATTCCAAGAAAGAAAGGAAGCTAAGAGGAACAAATACTGCACAGGCAGAAAGGCAGACATGAGCTGAAAGGAAGGGATGGACTGCGTCGCTGCTGCAGCGACACCTTCCCAGCTGACCCTCTTCACCAAATACGACACCATGCTGGGCCATGCTGTCCAGGACACAGCCAGACAAGTGAGATGCCTATAGGAGGAAACGGCGTGCAATTAAAATGTAGTTTGAAGGGCAAAAGGTAACCTTCAATGCTTAAATAAAAATAAGATTTGGACTCACCTAGTGGAAATTCTAGCAACATTCCCTGGGAACCAAAATATTAGCAAAGTCCCCTTCTGACTCATTGCAGGAACAAAATAATTGGTCCTTGAGAGTCATGGCCTCTTCTCCTTCCCTCTCCTCTATGCAAGGCCTCCAGAAAACTTCAAGTAAGAAATCTTCCATACGAATGTGTGAGGACAAAATAGGAAGATGACTCAGGACTTGCTGGCACATTAAGATGGCACAAACGAGGCTGATCACGACTGATGGTAGTAAAACAGCCGCGCCAGGTGCACGACGGCACACACTGCAGTGCCCTCCAGCGGGGTCTGCTGCTGTCCTTACCAAGACAGGCACGAGACTTGTCAAGGGGGCAGGGAGGGGGTATTCCACTTCTGACAGGAGAGCCACCCACTAGAGTGCGTAACGCTAACTCTTGGACTGGGAATGCTGTTTGTGCTTCGATTAAATAATGATCACCAAGATCCTTATGCAGATTTCTTTATACTGCTAATTAAGGAGGTGGACACCTCTTCCCACTAACCAGTAAATTAACCATATACAAAAAATACATAGCCAGATTCCCGAGTATATTGGAAAACATTTTTAAAGAGAGTTAAGAGAAGAGAATGAATTTGTTAAGGTTGAAGCAATTTTTTGGTCATTAATGGTAGTGTTGTGTATTTACTAAAACTATCTCACACATCAGTGTAATGTCATAACAAGACCTGGGGCTCAGGACTGACTACCAGGTTCAAATTCTGCACCTTACTAGTTCTATGACCTTTGGTACTCAGCGCTGCTGTACGTCAGGTTCCCACCTGTAAACTGGGGTTAGCAATATTACTATTTTCTTAGAGGAGTTGGGAGTACTAACAGGATTAGTTCACATAAAGCTCAGCTCGACAAATTTGTATTATTTATTTCTCACAACAACCCTATGAAGTATTTATATTATCTTTAATGTCTCATCCATCATACAGTTTAATTAATTTTTCCTAGAATGATTTACTCTCCCAGGAAGCTGATTTTTTTAGCAAGTATGCAATACAACCGAAGCAAAAACACAGGCAAAAGAAAGAGAAGGGGTGAAAACAGACAGACCAAGTATATAAAAAGTTAAATTTTTAATAAGAATCACACAGCTGTCTTCTTCTGACATTTGGAAGAAGAATCGGGAAGCAAGAAGAATAAAGGGTGGAAAAAATTTAAAAAGCAGAAACAAAAAGAAGTCGTCCATGTTTACACCAATTCCCATCTCCAGGCCCCGGCACTATAAAAGGTATTCTTCATTAGTTCAGACTCTTAGCTCCCTCATCCAGGAAGTATCTGGCTATTGAGGGGAGCTTGGCTTTTTTGTTCAGCTAACTTGAGATCTAAGAGCCTATATAAAATTAAGTCCAAGGAGGTTATGGATAAAGATATCTCTCTGCTGCAGTTCACTTCCCGTTCAGTGCTCCAGGCCTTCCCGGGGCCCAGCACTGTGTGAATGCTTGACGGACTTGCACATGTGCTAGTGCAGTCAACTCTGTAGCATGAAACAGTATTTCCTGTCTCTGGTTTCTGAAAACATTATCATGGGATGGACACTCTATAAAGTCTGTGACAAACACACTTCCTAGTGCATGAATTATAAAACTAGCAGGGGACATCAGGCTTCTGTTCTGAGGCTGGGGTTCCGTTTCTCCCCAGCTCTTCCCATCACTCTGGTCTTCAGTACTGTGCTTTCTGTATACATTTAAGCAGCTGGGATGCTTCCCCTTCCTCCACCCCAAAATCACCCTAAGTCTGGAAACCTCAATAGTAAGTATTCAAATGTTTAAGTTTTGAACACTGTAGACATGCCAAAGTAAAAGGTTATGTAATATTAAAAATCATTTAGAAACAATTTTTATTTTCAATGCTGAAGTACACAAAATATAATTATATCTAAGAAAAATTATATTGAGAAAACCTATTTGGAGAAATCAATAATGATTTCTCCCCATTTTTGGAAGATGGCACTTTTGAATTGTAATGTGACATGCCATTTAGCAGAAATGTTATATTTTGAACACAGAAAGGGAGACTTTTCTATCAGGTGGCCAATAACTAAATCTTAATCCAGATACGACATTAACAAGGTAAAAAACAACACAAATGAAAATATCTGATGACTCCCTACATCCCCACAACAGTTGGTGCATTCAGGATCTCGCTGTAGGAGGCGCATCTCACAAAGAGAAATAGAGGAGGAATTCTCTCTACACTATGAAGTGTGTTTGTCACAGACTTTACAGAATGTCCATCCAAAAACGTGTACAGAAATATTTATGAGAAAGGTATTGGTTCATCAACACGAAATATGTGCAAAAAAGAACACCGTACATTACGTTTCTTTCTTTTCCTATTTAGAATGTAAAAGAAAAGAATTAATTTTAACTGAGCCCCCAAAACCCTGAACTCTTATTAAAAAGAACAAAAGTCATTAGCATGGGAAGAAAAGGAATAATTCTGAGCAGGAAATCATCATTGGCTTCAGTATCTAACAGACCCAAGCGTAGCTTCTAGCCTGTGCAGT